ACAACAGCTATTTAGATGTTGTTGGTCGACATTATGACCAAAAAAAAGCCACAAATCTTAAAAAATTCTCCCCCGGGTCGAAAAAATTTATTTAAGTACACATGCAGCCCTTCAAAGGTAAAATTGTTCTCAATGCGGCCCTCACAGCAAAAAGTTTGCCCACCCCTTGATTCTAAACGGTTATCGAATTGAGAAAAGAAGACAAGACATTACCATTAAAAAACTTACTTTCATTAATATTGATTATTATAATTATTTTTATTATAATATATAATAATAATTATTATTATTATTATCGTTTATCATATTATACTTGGTACATCATTAAAGCTTTCGGTAAAAAACGACTCTTTGTTGTACACATTTTCAGAAGAATTTATCGAATCAATATTATTATTCGTCATAATTTTCAACATAATTATATTCATAATTATCATAATTATATTTATAACTATCATACATTTCATAATTATTATGATAGTAGCTATCACAGTTGCGACAAAATTGGTTAGAACATTGGCTTTCGCTTGGATACTGACTCTGGCAGAGGTGATGTTGCCAGCAGTTGTAACAGAGATTTGGTGATTGATACTGCGTGTAATTTGGGCTTTGGTAGGTATTGTATGAGTTTAGTTGTTGATCCTGGTACGTTTGTTGAAGCTGCTGCTGTGACTGCTGCGATTGTTGTGGCTGTTGCTGCGACTCTTGTGGCTGTTCGGTGCATGTTTCATTTTGTTGTTGTTGTGGTTGTTCTTGGCAGTATGGCTGTTGTAGTTGTTGCTGTTGTTGTTGTTGCTCATCGTCGGCGGGAAATGTTTGTTGATCATCTTTAACACATTGTTGATGGCTGGGTTGCTGATGTAGTTGTTGCCGAAGTTCTTGTGGCTGCTGGTGGTGTTGATTTTGCGGTTGCTGATGCTGTTGATATTGTTTTTGAGGTTGTTTTTGTTGTTGTTGTTGATTATGTTGTTGCTGATGATGTTGATGTTGTTGTTCGATTATGTTGATGTTGTTGTTGATTATAATGTTGCTGAT